ACTTATTTGAAGTAAATTTTAGGTATAAGTATTAATATAAGCAAAATTTCACATATAAATGATTATTTTTCTTTTGAGGAGTTTTATTATAAGTAACTGATTTTTTTTTTTTAATTTATATGAATTTCTTTTATTTATTAATAATATTTTCACTATAATTACTTACAACTGAATTTTTAATATGCATAATTGAATTTTTATCTTATGAGAAGTAAAAAAAATAGCTTAAAAAATTATTTATAATTAAAATCTCATCTATAATTAAAAAATCAATTATAACTAAAACAAAAATTCACTTTTATGTAAAAAAAATGTTTATAATAAAAATATCACCTATAATTATGAAAATCAATTATAAGTACAAAATCAAGCAAGTTTTTACTTGTAAGTGAAATATTTTATTACAAGCAATTTATTTTATATGTAAATGAAAATTTCTTTTAAGACTTTCAGAGGCCTTTAGTAGACGAGGGCATTTTGGGAAACCAAAATTGTTTTTATATATTAGATTTTATTAGGGTTATAATTTCACGGTAAGGTTTGAGGTTTTTGTTTGGTTTCTGCCTTTCAATTTGGGCAAACAAAATTGTCGCATGTGAGTAGTTTGTGGATTAGTGGCTTGAGCATAGTTGAAGGACCAAATTGTTGCCTCTGGAACAGCAAGGAAAACAAATTTCAGCTTCAACATTGTTAGAGGATCGAATTGTCACCTCCGAATATATGGAGGACGAAATCACAGATTGATCATAGTATGAGGACCGAATTATTGCCTGAGAATAGTTTAAGGATATAATTGTCTCCATTCAATAGTTAATGGACAGAATTGTCATCTTTTGTTACCCAATTGACATTATAGTACTTTGGTGACCAAATTAACACTTTGACATAGTTTGAGGATCTTAGGGATAGTTGGAGGACCTAATTGGCTACTCAGGATAACTAAGGGGTAATATTAACTTTTCAGGATAGTTTTGTAACCAAATCGATCATTAGAAATAGTAGGAGGACCTAATTTATCCTTGATGATAGCTAGAGGACCAAAATAACCTTAGAGAATAGGTGTTAGACGATATTGACCTATCGGCAAAGTGGGAGGATGAAATAGAATTTTCAGGATAGTTGGAGGACTTAATTTATAATTCAGTACAGTTTCAGGATTGTAAGGATAGTCTGGGGACAAAATTGACCCTTCAATATCATTGGAGATCCTAATTGACTCTTCGTATTAGTTAGTGGACCAAATTCACATTTATGGATAGTTTGAGGATCAAATCAATGCTTTAGGATAGTTGGAGGACCTAATTTACTCTTTAGTATAATTGGTGGACCAAATTGACTTTGACGGCATTGCGGATCAAATTGATATTTCAGTATAGTTTCAGGATGAAAACGTTGCTTCCAGGATATATGTAGGATCAACATCACCATTATGAAAAGATGGAGCACTAATTCACCCTTAAGGATTGTAGGAGGACTGAATTAATTCTTCAGAGTTGTTGGAGTACTAAAAATTTATGCTTAGGATAAGTGTTGGACCAATTCGGTACTTTAGGATAGTTGGAGGATCAACATCACCATTCTTAATTGTTGGTGGAACAAAATGATCCTTCTGTATACTTTGAGGACCAAGTTGACTTATTTATATAGTTGGAGGATTATAATTGAAAATCCCCAATTTCGTTTTCCATCTGTATCTCCAAGTATTCAAAAGCAGCAATTTCATCCTCCAAGTATTTAGAAGCTACAATTTTGTTAAGTACTATTCAAATGCCAAGCTTTTTTCCCTCCAACTATTCTGAAGCATAATTTCATCCTCCAACTTTTTATAATTGGCACTTATGCTACATAACATCATTCCTCTCCTTAATATCTCATTTTTCTCATTAATTTTGCAAAGATAAGACTATTTTTAAGCAAAATGAATTTAAAACTCATTTTAACTTCAAAAGTTCATTTTAAAAAATCATAGGAGGATTAGCGTTTTATTATCGGATTTTTCAGAGTAGCAAAGGGATCGCCTTGAAGCCCGATCATTATTTTTTTGGTCTATTTCTATAGTTATATTAGAACATCTCTAATGCTTTCATAGTTTCCTAAAACCTATTTGCTACATAAAAAATAGACAATATTTAAATTGATTGGGCTTTACCTAAATATTTATGGACCATCAGTGGATAAAGTAGTTTCTAATAATCAAATTATTTACATATATTTTTTAAAATAAATTTTAATAGACCTAGAATATAATCAAATCATTTACATGAATTTTTTAACGTATTTTAACATACATGGAAATGTCATGAGTGGCGTAAAAGGGGGTAGCCCAAGCTCAGCTATTTCTTTCACATGTAAAAATAATTTTTATGAATTTTTTCCCTCCTATGCACTAACCTAGTGCAGAAAACACTTAATCTTCCCCGATTTCTCTTCAAAAAATATAAATTAAGAGCATATTCAATCGTGATTTAAAATAGATCTAAATTTTGATTTAGATCGTTAAAGTGGTCGGAAACCTTCCAATAGAGATGTAAAGGAAATGCAAATTGCATTTTTCTGCAGAAAATGTGAAAAAAGAAGTAATTTACATCTATGAGAGGCAAAAAATGGATTTAGATCTTTCCATTGGAGTAAGATTTGAATTTAGATTCACTGACATATAAGCCCCTGTTTGTCTACCATTTTTTAAAATATTGTTTTCTACAGTAATCAATCTTCACCACACATTCAAATAATAAAATATTCTACACATAAACCGATAAAATTTCTTTCAATTTTAACCACATATTCTTCAAAAAATACTATTCATTACACCATTTTCATCACAATAATAGTAGACAAATAGGCACTAAATAAGAATGCAAAAGTGATTTTGAAGATACCAATTTACACAACATTGATGATGTTTTAAATCCAGTAAATCTCCATTGTTATCTACCTTTTGTCTAACAAAAACATCAACATGCCCCACTAAATATGATTGGACACTTACATCCCACCCGTCACGCCACATTAAGATCAACCCTCCGCTCGGCCAACACTATCAACCACAATACATTGATCCATTCCCACTTTCAAATTCAATTCAATATCCCCATTCTCAAATAACCTAAACTCGGCTAAAAAAAATGTAGTCGAGTTGGGAAATGGTTTAGTTTCCTTGTTCTAGGTAATCATTTACCTATTTGGTACACAATATTGGATTAGACTGGTAGCATTTATTATAGTTAACAAGATTTTAGGTGTTTTTTTCACTTACGTATGGTCTACTTTGTGAAATGTGTCATTAGCAAATTTTAATAAATTCATGTTCCAAATTTAACATAAAATTTCTTTGTGTAATCAATAATATAATTGTGAATTTTTCTTTGTTATTCAGTTTGTTGGGTTCTTCACAAAATTTGTATTATCTGAGAGAGGTAAAAACACAACGATCTTTCGTTTGCTATCTAATATACCTTACCAAATTGATGTTTAGGCTAATGTTTCTATACTAACAAATTTTAATGAAGTCACCAGCTATGTTTAGCAAACAAATGCTCATCTTTTAGATTTGAATATTACTGCACTTTTGCACTTGAAATCTCGTACTAGTCTGCTTCCATTGCACACTATCCGGTAGAGAAGACATGCTCAGATGTTATGTCAATCTTAAGACAGGCAAATTAATTATGGGATGCATGGGAGACAGGATTTGCATGATCCAAGAAGCCCATGCATGATCCAAGGCACCCGCTTTTCAAGTAATCATTTACTTCAAAAGACAAATTTGAGACATCCAATGTAAAGATATCTGATTCCCAAGCAGGTTCCACTTCAATCTTCGTATCTTCTAATGCAATATATGTTATCAAACGTTTTATTCCCCTCATTCTGGTTTGGTACATACATATTTGGTACTTAGGGTTCATTTGGTAGGGATTTTGACAATTTTTAGCCATCATTTTATATTCTTTTTCTACTCTTTTTTTTGTTTTTTTTGGTTTAGCATATAATATAGATACAATGGTAAATAAAAAAACTAAGCTCAAAGGAGGCACTTTTGGTGCCTTTATCCTCTTGCTATGATAATCATACAAATTGATAGACGATCCTTGAATCTTATTTTATCCCAAGTAGAAACACAAAATATAATAATTCGATATGTACAGCACTTACGTGCGCATGGACGAGGTTTGACACCTGTGTTGATTTTTCGCACTTTAGATTGTAGTACGTTTTAAGAGGTCATCCATTAAAATGTAAGTTAGTTGGGATCTAATGCGAGATAGTTTGGTCCATATTCGTTGTCGGTATCGTAACATTGCCCTGTTTGTCATTAATTTAAAAGAACTTTATTTCGAATAGTATTTTTTGGAGAATGTATGATTAAAAAGTACGGAAAAAATCTGAATTTACGTGTTGAATATTTTATTGTGTGAATGTATGGTTGAAAAACAGTATGAAAAATAAATTAAATTAAAGTAGAGGGAATCTAATATGAAAGGTCTGGGAAGGATACAGTTTTGACATACATGATACATATACTTGGTTAACTCATTTAGACGGAATGACTTGATTCAAATAAAAATAAATTCAATAATTTAATTTTGACCAAAAGTTATCTTCTTAAAAGAAATTAAAAAAAAAAATTAAATATACACTTAAAATTTTAGGAATGAACAATCTCCTGAAAGCAAACCAGTTTGCCCTATCGATGCCCCTTGCCCCCAGGCCATACCGCGATACGTGCAGGAAACACCGACACTTCGTATTAGCCTACGCCTCAGTTACCATAGGCTACCTATTCCATGCACACGTGCACCGAGATATTGTAAATTTGTAATATTGCATTCTCTCTATATATATGCACTGTAATTTTTTGGAGAGAGAGATTTGAGTTCTTGAAGAGAGCTTAAGAATTTCAAGATTTCTTAGGATGGACAGGGGATGGAAACCTAATGTTGAGGTGTCGCCAGCCTGTCCTCGTTGCGGTTCTTCAAACACCAAATTTTGTTACTACAACAATTACAGCTTGACACAACCTAGGTACTTGTGCAAAGGTTGTAGAAGGTACTGGACTAAAGGTGGGTCCCTCCGGAATGTTCCAGTCGGCGGTGGTTGCCGGAAGAGAAGACGAGGTAAGTCCATACGCACGTCGTCTACAGTTGGTGTCTCCACTAGGAGTTCAGGCAATAACGGAGCAATGCTCGAATCAAATAGCTCATATCCTGGACCTGGTGTCTCAACCAATATTGATCTTGCAGCAGTTTATGCTAATTTCCTTAATCAGAAGCAACAACCAGAGCCTCGGGTAGAAGTCCCCAAGTTGTTATATGATGGTACATTAAGGGAACATGTTTATTTATTACACTCTTATTCTACACGCGTACAATTTTCATAAATAAGTTATTGCAACACCTAATTTGAGGACTTTTGTCTCTCTGATACATATTGAACTGCCCCATGGAGCTAATAGAAAGTCGACAAACTTATTTATCTAAATCTTGCTTCAACAGGTATTCCATCTTTCTATTACATGGCAGCTGGTTTAGATCAAGAGAGTGGATGTGGGATTCTTTCTGATAAGTCATTAGAGATTCATGCAGGCATTGAAAATGCAAGATATTTTTGTGGGCTTGACGCATTTAATCAGAAGCATCAGTATACAACTGATCATCAGTTAATTACAAGTATGAACGGCTTGATGAACAATTCTCCTTTGCCACCATTGCCTAGTGAAGATGTAGCAACTTCTGAAGGGATGGTGGGGTCCAGCTTTGACTTAATGTTGCCAAATCACATATTTCGGTCAACAGAACGTACGGCAGGGATCGAACAAGATTCGGAACAGTTGAATGGACATGGGAACCCATTCAGCATGCTGAATCTTGAAGCCATTTTCAGACCTAAGTCTTGATGAGGTTCCTTTTTATATCTTAGTTTTGTATAGGTTAAAATTACTATAAATACATATTCTACTCGCATGATTCTTAAAATAACGTGCAGAAGTTGAAAATGTTGCATGGAAATTGGAAAACCGACATAGAATTCGGTGATCCCAGAAATAATTCTAGTTTGACGAGATAATCAAAGAATACTTTCTAAATTAATTCGGAGATTAGTCAAATCATGAACGTGTTACTTCATACCCATAGTTCCCTATAATGCATACTTAGCCCCTGTTTGTTTACCATTTTTCAAAAAATTGTTTTCTATAGTAATCAATCTCTACCACACATTCAAATAATAAAATATTCTACATATAAACCGATAAAGTTTCTTTCAATTTCAATCCCACATTTTTCAAAAAATACTATTCATTACACCATTTTCTTCTCAATAATGGTTGACAAACTGGCACTTATATAAATTTCAACCATTTTTGGTGCACCTATTCATATTTTGAAAAAAATAATTAATCCCTTTTGGAAAGTTTAATTTGACAATTGCTATTAAATCTATCCCGTTAAAAGCATAAAAAAATATAGATATTTATTTATTTAAATTTAATTTTCTACATGCACGTGCGAACTTTATTTATATTTCTTTAAATGCACGATACTCGTAAAATCTTCATGAATGAGTGTCACTCAAACTTGAGCTTATATCTTATGTTTACTTTGATGACTGATATATGCTATCAATTATCTCGTCTAAAATTTTTTTAAGTTAATTTAATTAAGAGTAATGCTATTTACTGTAGTAGTTGCCCTATGTGGCATACACGACATGTAGTTATTTGATGCATTAATGTGGTAGTTTTTTTATCACATTAATGCATTAAATATACACTTGACATGTTTGTACCATATATGGCTGCTGTAGTGAGCGACTGCAAATAACATTATTCTTTATCTAACATAGAATTTCCGCTACATATTCATTTCTGGTCTTCTCATACACGCCCTCTCCATCAAAGTTTGCTGCATATAGAAGTCTGATCATTCAAGAGGATGGCCGGTAGCCTGGTAGGCTGATACCAGTAAAGTGACTATATGGTCATTCTGATGAAGGTTAATACCAAGGAAAATTTCAAATAGCAGGCACATATCCAATTCAGCAAGCATAAACTCAAGAATATTGTATAAACTGAAAAAACGCAGCAATCATAGACTGGTAAAATAAACTGCAGAAAATGTAAATAACGATAGTACCAAGATTGTTGACCCAGTTTAGCACTTAGGCCTAATCTGGGGGCGCAGTGGTGAGTCCGTTTGAATGATTTTCACAACTGCCTTTCAGGGATTACGTTTATAAAGGAACCAAATCAGATTTCGACTCAAAGGTTTTATTCATAGATCATTAAGATTTCATAAACCTTACTAAAGAATCACAAACCCTATCTCTGTATATCAACCGAACAGTAACCCAGTCACTACAGCCAAAAACGAGGCTCAAGGTTACAATCACAGACACGGTAAATCAGTATCTACAGTTCCTCAAAGATCAAAAGCTCATTTACGGGGAAGGGGAGATTTTCAGAGAGAGAGCATGAGAGACTCGAGCCAAAAGCAAAGAATCAGAATGAATACCTAGGGAAACCCTCTAAACACGCAATAGAGGTAAGAAATGATCACAACCATACAACAATGAAGAGAAAGCACAATCTGGTCCTCAACCAATCAGCCAATAGGAAGCTGCCACTTGGTTTTAAAAAAAAAGAAAAAACTCTTAAAGAGTTGCTTATTTTTGGAATCACGTTTTTAACTTTCAAGAACAATAATGTGGTTCAATGGCGTGCCTACACAGAGTAGCGTTTTCATTAGATTACTTGATGACAACAACATCTACACAGTAAATGGTATATCGCAAAGCACTGAATACGGAAACAAAATCCTTGACTGCAAGAAGTGAATCTCAAAATGGATAAAAATCACTTCCCTCCACCAATTTTTTCAATACCCAAAAACTTAAAGATGGAAGAATTATTTCCAAAAAGTTGATCAAGTTTCTCAACCATGTGTTACTTTCTACTGTATATGTATTCTTAACTAAATTCAGTTATGTACACAACTAGTTTCTATCTATCCCCCAATTCCATTACTAAATCTAGATAGATAAGAATCAAACAACCCCATGGGCACACATGGAGAGCTCTTCCATGATCTTGCATGCAGTTTAAGTATGGCTCCAGCTGTCTCCATTGTTTTGGTTCCACAATTAACTTGAAGCACAAGAGACAGCTTTGTTACTGCACCAATCTGCAACATTTCTTGAAGAACTCGATGAGTTGCAGAGAATTTCGAAATAGAATGTAAAATTCTAACTCCCCTTTCACTTGCAACTTGTGAAACCCTAAGTATTTTTTTCGACACAATGGCCAATCCTGCACTGTGCTTTAATAATTCTGCTCTTCCTTCTGCGCATTGGCATAGAAAATCCAACACCGTTAGCGTCATTTCACAAGCCCTTTTGTTTGAAGTGTCGAGTAAAAGGTCAATTAACGACGAAACTGCTCCTGCTTCCACCGCTTTGATCTTATTTCTTCCCCATGGACAGACAATGGTAAGAATTTTCAGAGAGGATTTTGAGGATTTTTGAGAAATCTTATCCTTCAAGATTTGGACTAATTCGACGAAGAATTCGGGTTTTAAGATGGTCAGCTCCGTTGGATCATCTGCTACTTCAAACATGGATTTCAGTAGCATAACAGCATAAGCTCGAGATTCATAGCTCCCACGCTGTATTATATGCGTTACGGACTCGATGAATTGATCACCATTGTTCCTGAAGAGGGACTTAAGGAAGATTCATAGCTCCCACGCTGAATTGTATGCGTTAAGGACTCGATGAATTGATCGCCATTGTTCCTTAAGAGGGACTTAAGGCTGGATTCGGATAATTGGAGATGAACAAGAATGCTTAAAGCTTCATCTCGAATTCTTGCCGATTCAGATAAATCTTCTGATTCTTCAATTGAAGATTCTACCATGATTTTCTTAACAATTATCAAGGAAGCTAAGAATTCTGCCGTTCCTGCTTTCTCCATGCATATTTTATTCGTTTCGTTTTCAAAAGCTATGGATTTCAATCTTTGAAGACATTTCAATTGCATTTGAGGAGATTTTGCATCTTTAAATATCTTCAGGAGCTGTGGTTTGCTGATAGGAGCCTTAGGTGTCGGGTACCTTTCGATGCCATGGGACGCGTGGAGGACGCACCACGATTGGATCAGTCGTCGAACGGTAATGTTTGGAGTCAATTCTGAATCTGAAATGACTTGTCTTGTTACCGGACAGGTACTCTTATTCCGAGAGAACATCCATTTCTCTATACTTTCCCGATCATATGTTATGCCTGATGAGATCGTCACCGGATCTTTCATAATCTCTAGAGTGATGGGGCAGAGAAAATATGGTGGAATCTTAATTTGATCCATTTGGAACTAGTTATAAAGATCAAGATTTTGAAGTTTTTGACAAGAAGATGGTGAAGCTGTTGAGGAGTTAAAAGATTGGTTTGAAGATGTTAGAGTTGAGAGGGTGGTCTGGTTTTATATGAAGAAATGAAAGAGATTCAAATGGGAAAGTCGACCCGTGTGTTTTTGTGTGTATTTTAGAGAGAGAGGTCTTTTTTTAATAGTTTTATCTTTGGAGGTTTTGACTTGGACTTTTCTAATACATGAATAACAACTGTACATCTTCTTCCTTGTCAGACTGCTTTTGACTTTCTCTCTCTATAAGAATTTTTACCCTATCTAAGAACAAAAGGCAAAAATGAAGAATGCTATTTATGAATTGGGAAGTGTTACAAGTATATAATTTTGTACATAATTGTGTCTATAATTTAGTGTTTTAAAATGCGTTATGCGTTGCGATGCGTCGAGTTCGAGAATCAAGAATCACAAGTTTAGACGCGTCAATGCGAAAAATAAACGTTATAATGCGTTTCGTATTTTTAATATTATTTTAATTATTTTTAAGACATTAAATATATTTTTATATAAAAATAGATTTTTTTTAAGGGGAAAAAAAGGGGGGGATAAGGCGCGCTTAAGCGCGCTATAGCAAGATTCATAGCTCCCACGCTGAATTATGTGCGTTAAGGACTCGATGAATTGATCACCATTGTTCCTTAAGAGGGACTTAAGGCTGGATTCGGATAATTGGAGATGAGCAAGAATGCTTAAAGCTTCATCTCGAATTCTTGCCGATTCAAATAAATCTTCTGATTCTTCAATTGAAGATTCTACCATGATTTTCTTAACAATTATCAAGGAAGCTAAGAATTCTGCCGTTCCTGCTTTCTCCATGCATATTTTATTCGTTTCGTTTTCAAAAGCTATGGATTTCAATCTTTGAAGACATTTCAATTGCATTTGTGGAGATTTTGCATCTTTAAATATCTTCAGGAGCTGTGGTTTGCTGATAGGAGCCTTAGGTGTCGGGTACCTTTCGATGCCATGGGACGCGTGGAGGATGCACCACGATTGGATCAGTCGTCGAACGGTAATGTTTGGAGTCAATTCTGAATCTGAAATGACTTGTCTTGTTACCGGACAGGTACTCTTATTCCGAGAGAACATCCATTTCTCTATACTTTCTCGATCATATGTTATGCCTGATGAGATCGTCACCGGATCTTTCATAATCTCTAGAGTGATGGGGCAGAGAAAATATGGTGGAATCTTAATTTGATCCATTTGGAACTAGTTGTAAAGATCAAGATTTTGAAGTTTTTTGCCAAGAAGATGGTGAAGCTGTTGAGGAGTTAAAAGATTGGTTTGACGATGTTAGAGTTGAGAGGGTGGTCTGGTTTTATATAAGAAATGAAAGAGATTCAAATGGGAAAGTCGAACCGTGTGTTTTTGTGTGTATTTTAGAGAGAGAAGTCCTTTTTTAATAGTTTATCTTTGGAGGTTTTGACTTGGACTTTTCTAATACATGAATAACAACTGTACATCTTCTGCTTGTCAGACTGCTTTTGACTTTCTCTCTCTATGAGAATTTTTACCCTATCTAAGAGCAAAAGGCAAAAATGAAGAATGCTATTTATGAATTGGGAAGTATTACAAGTATATAATTTTGTATATAATGGTGTCTATAATTTAGTGTTTTAAAATACGTAATGCGTTGCGATGCGTCGAGTTTGAGAATCAAGAATCACAAGTTTAGGCGTGTCAATGCGAAGAATAAGCGTCATAATGCGTTTCGTATTTTTAAGGCATAATGCTCGCATTAGGCGTGCCTAGGCAGGATTAGGCGAGCCTAGGCGCGTGCATTGCATCGCCTTTTAGATGGAAACTCATTTTCCCGCGCGTCGCGCCTCGGCGACGCATCTTCGCTAGTTTTAGAACACTGCTATAATTATACGTAGCACTGGATCGAACCTTTAATTCAAATCTAACACTTTCACATCAACAGTCAAATCTTGTCCACATCACATTGTAGACACAATTATGTGGTCAAATTGTGTACACTTAAACTTTTCCTTATGAATTATACCGTCCTAATTTATTAGGCGTGTGTTTGGCACCCATTCTATACCAATTTTTTCAAATCATTTTTAAACCCCAAGTTAGACAAAAAGGACGGTTCCTCTTGTAATTGATGAGGCCACACGCTAAATAGCCTTTAAGAGGCATTTTGAAATTTTTAACTTTTCATTTCCGCCCTTCAATTTATGGTTGGTGAGAATGAAATGGTAGGGCTGAAATGGTGGAGGGCAATGTTGAAAATTTTCAATTTCATTTGAGGGCAAAATAGTCCACGAAGGCTCGACGGCATTATCCACTTTATATCCATCCTGATAAAAATTCAACTTCTTATAATGTGTTATCAGACGTGTACTGAAGGAAAATGATATGTTGTGGAAACAATATTGAGATATAATTATGTAGAATTGGTTTGAGTCCACTTGTAAGTACTTGAGAGAAAAAGAAAACTCGTGCTTAAATATGTGGAATATATGATAGAAATTGTACCACGTGAAAGATAACGTGTGTTTTTTATTTTCAAAATTGGCTGCTCCATGCATCTTTAATGCCGACGTGTACTGTGGCCATTCTTGTTACCATGTAATGTTGACCTAGGATTTGCAATTTCATTTTCTCTTACGTTTGTTCTATAAAGTATGGCTAACGTGAATGTGAAAAGAATAATATTATCTAATATTAATATATTATTGATGTTACGTTGTTATCATATATTATTATAGAATTAAGCGTAGAAGATGTATGAATTACTTAATTAATTCTATCATTTAATGACACATATCCCTCAATTGAGAATGTAGCACCATCGGTGCCAACAGGAGCGGAGGGAGTGGAGGCAGGCTTGAGCTTTAGATAAAGAAGTGTAGAGCAGCGTCTCCCTTCGTCCATATATAGAAGCATTATGGACAAACCTAGTCGGCTATCACTTACACGGGTAAAATTTATATATGTCATGATGTATATAAAAAATAAAAAAGGACTCGTAAAACAGAGATATAGACGCAGTCTAATACTTTGCTTTTCTTCTATGCATATTGTCATGGTTTCTCTAATGAAGTGGCTCGATATTTGAAATTTAATTAGATATTGAAGTTTAAAAAAAATTTAATTGATATGACGAGGATTTAATTTTATAATTATGAGATCTTAAATTCAAGTAACAACGTCAATAATAGATGGAAACGGGAGTTGTAGTGACTTGAATGACAATAGTAAACCGAAAAAACTAAATCAAAGCACGCGAGTTGATTAATTAACTACGCTTACGACAAATAGATTCATGTCTACTGTCATAGCTAGTATAACTTATGGCCACAAATTACTTATTTAATTATAATTCAAATTATAAGTATTTCCACATCATATATGAATAAAAAATGTACCTTAATTCCTTTTACTAGTACTAAAAAGGCCAACGGACTTGAAAGACTCACAAAATAAAGAAAATGAAGAGTCAACCATTACATGCCAAATTGCTATCTATGGCTATCATCTCTTTGAATGGTCCTCATGGCTATGATTAATACACAGAAGTCGTAGAAACTTTAATGATGTGAGATTGTGAATCAATATACGTATGTGCTGAGCTAGGTTAAGAGGAGAGAGAAATCCTTGCGTATGTTTTGTGTTTTAGAGTGTGGACATGATTCAATTCGATAAAATTTTCATTCAAAGAAAAATCGAATTGAACTAGTTACTAATAATAATTTGGAAAAATTAAAGCCACGGTATCAAATCTTTCATTTTTTTGTAGACCTTGTCCAAATCTTTCATTTGTGTCGCCCAAGGTACCAAATCTTTAAACAATTCACACCCGGAGTCCAAATTGACAGAAACCGTTAGTTGACCAATAATTAACTCTAAATAATACATAATTATTCAACCCAATCATTCAATCCACAAAAGAAAAGAAAAAAAAAAAAAAGAAGGTGGTGGTGGAGTTTAATTTTTTGAATTTCGTGTTACTTAGTCAGAATATGTAATGATTGACTAAAAAGACATGTGAATTACGTAATCAAATTAATACCGTGAACACTTGGGACGAGAAGAGAATTGGATTAGTGGTTTGAGTTTTCTCGTTCCTTTTCCCATTTTTTCTCATTTTCTTTTCCTTTATACTTTATTCAATATAAGAGCACAAAGTAGTCGACATAATTTTTGACTTCTCAAAGGTCAAACCTTGCTCCTAGTAGTTGTTTATAAGGACGAGGACCTGTGTACTACAAACGGGAGATTGGAGACCTAAATGTCACAAGTCCTAAAGATTAGGGACTCTAAATGAAATTTACTCGATAGAAACTGTCCTTCAAAAAGTCAGAAAGCCTAGTCCATGGCCCAATTTACTGTTCAATTTGCGACACGTCAAACTCATTTTCTTTTTCAATCCAAATCTCATCAATATACAAGAGAGAAAATACAATTTTACTCTCACACGTGCACCTAGAACATTGAACATATTGTTGCAAAAAGTTCACTTCGAATTTGACGTTTTTAGATTTTGAGTAAATTCAAAAGATCAATACATAGGATTTGATTGATTTAAAATAACCCCCGAATCATTAACAATTAGTTAGTATTTTCAGAAAAGATAACAAAAATTTCTTGAAACATATGAAACTTATTTGAGTTTGGCTCGTGTTAAGGCTTCAGTAGTCTCATGCGAGATGAATCGTTTTTCTAGCAAAATGTCTGCTCTGAAAGAACTCAAATAACAATTGGAAATAATCTGGTGGCAAAACCTGTCTTTTCCTTTGTTTTCATTTTACTTAAATAACACATAGATTACATCTCTACAAAACTAACTAAGGAATGTACAGCTTTACAAAAATAAATGTGATTTGTGAAAAATGGAAATACAGGAGAGAATCATGGAATTATATCACACTGATTTGTGAGGAGAATGGGGAGGTGATTCGGCTGCTGTTGGTTTGGGAAGTTCACTTATGGTAGCTGCGTTTTTGGGATCTTCATGACCGCTCTGTCCAGCTCGCTCGTTCTGTCCATTTTGCTTATTCTGTCTAACACCCCCCACCCCCCGGCCCTCTCAAATTAATGGGGAATAACATTACCATTACTTTGGATCTCAAATAGATAAATCGAGGAGTTTTTAGTCCCTTCGTGAAGATATCTCCAATTTGATCTTGTGTAGAGATGTGTTTGACTTGAATGTCTTTGTTTAGAACTTTTTCTCTGATGAAGTGGTAATCGATTTCAACATGTTTTGTACGAGCATGAAATACCGGATTTGATGCTAAGGTAATTGCTCCAATATTGTCGCACCAAATTGTTGGAATTGTTTATAGTGAGACATCAAGTTCCTTCATAAGCATTCGGATCCAGTATAGTTCAGTAGTAGCTATGGCAAGACTTCGATACTCGGCTTCTGTGCTACTTTTGGAAATGATGGGTTGTTTCTTTGATGTCCAGGTTATAAGATTTGGTTATAGGAAGACTCTGTAACCTGTTGTGCTTCGACAGTCATTTGGATTTCTAGCCCAATCAGAGTCACAGTAAGCATTTAGTTGAATGTCACCAAGTGAAAAATAGAGGCCATGTCAATACTACCCTTTAGATAGCGAAGCACACATTTCACAACAACCCAATATGGATCACGTGGATTGTGCATAAACCGGCACAATTGATTCACAGCATATGCTATGTCAGGACGTAAGATGGTATAATATTGAAGTGCTCCAACTATTCGTCAATATTCGGTGGGATCAGATAATAGTTCACCTTCTGTTGATGAGAGTTTTAGGCCCAATGTTGTTGGACAATTTAGAGGTTTTGCACCCCCCCTCCATTTTGATACTGTTAAGTAGGTTTGTTATGTACCTTGTCCGAGCCTAAACATCATTATACTGTAGAAACCGACTTAACAATTTTTGCTCGCTCTCACCTACCGAAAACATATTGGCCCGATGCCTTCCTAACATCTGTTTACCCTATCAATAGACTCCCCACAAAAGTGTTACATAAACTTAACTCCTTTTTACATGCTTCACAACAAAATTCCAAAATTTTCACATTTAAAAATCTTTGGATCAGCTTGTTATCCCTTACTTTGGCCATATGAGAACAACAAACTCTCTTTCCGCAGCAAAGAGCGTATATTTATAGGCTATTCAAGTCAACAAAAAAGATACAGGTGTCTT